AGAAAGAATATTAGCATGGCAGAGGCAGCCTAAGTCTTTCAGACACCTAGGAAATTGGTTTTTCTGGAATATATTGTGAGTTTGGTAATTATTTGTTCAATAAATAAAGTTTGAGTTATAGGGGAAAATGTGACAGTACTTTGGTATGAGTTTTAGTGGATCCCATCAACTGTCCCCGTTTAAGGTTGTATACTGATTCTTTTTGACTGTGAGTTCAGATGCTTGGGCTGCAAATGGGCAAATGCTGGACATTCATGGACACTCTCTGAGGGGCCCACATGAGCTGCTCTTGTCAAAGATGCTTCACGGATGGGAAAGTAGGAGAAAACCTAAAGTTAACTAAAGAACTTTGGGTGGCTTCCTCATCCTTCAATTATATCAGAGATTGCAACAATGGCTAGATCTTCTGGAAATACTTTGTTGAGGAGGTTTGTCCACAGATTCTTCCTTCTATAACTACAAATTAAAGATAGCGACATATATTTTTGTACATCTCACCTGGAGAGATAGTATAGATGCCCTTTCCCCTTGAATCTAAATATGCCAGGTGACTACTTCTTTGGCCAATAGATTATATTAAAAGTGATGCTGTATTAGTTTATAAACCCTAGTCTCTAAAGTCTAACAGCTGCTACTTTCTGTCCCTTTCTGTCTCCATTTGTACCATATCTTAAAGAATCTGAAGCAGCCTTTGAAGAAGCCACGTGGTAAGAAACCAAAGCTACTGGCCAACGGCCCCAGAGGAGCCAACTGTGAATAGCTAACATCAACAAACCTGGAACATAAGTGAGCAATCTTGAAAGTGAATTTTTTAGCTCCAGTTGAACCATCCAAGCTGACCCCACATAAAGCAAATACAAGCTATCCCCACTGAGCCCTGCCAAAATTGCAGCTTCTTGTGCAAAATAACCAATTATTGTTAATTTAAGCAACTATAGTTCTAGGTAGATTTCTTATTCAGCAATAAATAATGAGAACAGAATTTGGTGTCCAAAAGCAAGGTGTTATTATAATCAAAATGTAAAACATTTGGCATTTATTTTGGAATTGGTGGTATGAAGAATCTGAAAGGGTTTAAGGAGTCTATGGCTGACAGGTGGAAGGACCATGAGGCCACTGCTGGTAAGGGTTTGAAGGACAGAAAGGAAAATGTTATTTGAGTTAGGTAAAACAGAGACACTTATTGTCTATTTTTGGGAACTTGGCAGCATGGTCACATGCCACAGCCTGAAAAATAGAAAGAGCATTTAGTAGATTCACAGGTCTTCCACCAATGATAAAATATGAGATGACAAAGGCAGATGAAATAAGATACTTACACTTTTTAGAAGAATTTAGAGGAAACATAAAATATCCAGAACTTGACAAGTTTGGAAATAAAAATATTTCTTATCCACAATCTCTCCCAATAAAGACTTTCAAAGTAAGAAAAGGCTTCAGGGAAAACATTGAATTCAAGGTGCTATCAAGAAACTATTGCCTCAGAATAAATGTCTTAAGAATGTAGCTGTGAGAACTTTTGTTAGAACTCAGAAATATTTTAGGCTATGCCTAATAAGGGTTCTAAGAGTTCTAAGAGCATGAATCCTCTGAGGTAAACAGCAGATCTTTATAAGAGAATTGTCATACAGCAGTTTCATAAGTGACACATGATAAAGAAATACGAGTGCAACTTTTGTCTAATGGGATTGATTTATAAATTGAAACCTAAGAAACACGCAATGTTTTTGAAAGTATCCTATCAAGTTGTGGGTACAGAGGCACAAAAATGAAGAGACATTTGGACCTTCAACTTTTTTACATGGAGATATCAGACTGAGAAAATGACTTACCAGCAAATAGTGGTTATGTCTTATGGATAAGGGAAAATGATCAGAAGTTGAGGAAAAGACCTCACAGGTTAGAGCCAAGAGCCATGGAGAATTATTTCCAGGAAATAGAATTGGGCCCTTATCAGGGTACTGACATGTGTCAACCTGAATTTCAGAATTGCTATGGACTGCTATGTACCACATACCCTCCTTTTTCAAAAGGAATTATCTATTATAGTTATCCTATGCCTATCTCTTCATTATACTTTGGGTGTCAGGAGCTGACAACCTGCTGGTCCTATGTCTTAAAAGACTAGCAGATTATACTTTCTGTATATGGGAACATTTACTCTTGAACTATGATGTGAGAAAATCCACGGAACTCCATGAAAAGGGCCCCGTGGAGAGGAACTTACACTCACAAGCTAGTCTTAGCTCAGTTGCTGGCCATAAGACAGCACTATCTCATCAACCACGTGAGCGAGCCATCTTGGAAGTGGATCCTTCAAGCTTAGTCGAGCAATCCAGCTGAATTGTATGGAGCAGAGATAAGCCATCTTTATAAGCCCTCCCCAACTTGAAGATTTATAAGGAAAATAAATGACTGTTGTTGTTTTAAATTGCTAAGGTTCTGGGGGCATATATATTGCTATACTTTCATATATTCTACTTAGGTAAAGCATTTATTCAAATATGTTAAGAGGCATTTGTTAGTCTTCTACGGAATGTTGCTTACTCTGTCTAGGGTACAGATGACATTCAGAAGATTCAATATATGGGTATGATGAAGTACTGCCTTTCCCACTGCTGATTGTTTGATAGAGAAAATATGATACAGTTGTAATCACCTCAATAAATCAGAGCTCACTAAGAAGCATAACGGAAGCTTAAATTTCTACTGTGTTTTGAAGAATGTAAATCAGGAAATACTTCATAAAACAGGTGAAAATGAAAGATAACTTTGATGGTGGACAGAGTTCCACATTGGACAAAAGATTATGGTCCTTTCAAATGAGAAATTCATTGGTTCCTAGGCCAGCACAAAATCGTTCTCCATGAGAATACTGGATAAGGAAAGATGCCCTAACTGGAGAGATGTGATGTCCAGTACAGCAAATTCGGGTTTATCTTCCACTATCCTTTTATTTAATGATGTCTGTAGTGTGATAATAGCCAATGGGACCATTATTCTATAAGTGCTAATTATATTTTCTGTAGAAATATTATTCTATTAATTATTTATTAGAATCCTTTTTAAAGGGCAATTTCAACTTTTCCATGTTTCTACTAATAAAAAAAGAAACTCAGGATAAGTATACACCAAAATAATAATAGGAAATAAGATCCATAAAGTAAGATAGAAAAAAAATTTAAATTATGTTAATGTCTGCATGCTGCAGAAAATGTTCTATACATAGTGTTGAACACAAAACTCAGCCACTTTTTATGAAATTTGACCAAAGTGTTGTCTATTTCTAGAGCTTCCAGCTTAATTAGCATTGTTTTCTAGAGTATAGAATTTGTTTTTTCTACAGTCTACATATTCTATAGTCAGAAACCTTAAATTCTAGCCTAAACAGTAATTCTTCCTAAATTTTCAATGAATGGGACATAAAATAGCACTAATCTAGTTAACCGCATGTACTATCTTGACCAGTATAGCTTCTCTGTTCACCCCATGGTAATTTTTTATAAAATTCATTATTGAAAAGAAAGTTAAACCCATTGAGGAGATCTAGAATGTAGTAGCAGGGACGCAAATTAATTTCTTCTGCCATTGTAATTAAACTATAAAGCCTGTAAAATCTGTGACATGAAGATATACATAATCCTTCAAGCAGGTAAGAAAAACATTATGGCAGAATGTTAAAAAGGGAAAAAGAAAAAAAGTAAAATGGTAAAAATAGAGTTAGATGGTTTAGATGAATGTGGCCAGTATCAAGGATTCTCATGAATTGGGTCCATGGATGGATTTATAGGTACTCTGCAAATTCCTTAAATCGTAAGCCAGTATTTTCCCTATATAGGAATGAGGACAATTTCATGTATTGGATACACATAGCTCTCAACAGATTATCAAAGAAGTGCATGTTTCAATATGTGAACAAAGTGATTATCCATAGCTATTCCATTGGTTGGGCCAACTATTTGACTCTTTACATATATATAGCAACTTTCTAAATTCAATGTTTACCAATAAACTCCATCATAATACTTTATTCTATAGGGAAAACAGGCAGTAATGTCACATGACATAAAAAAGAGTTTTCCTATCTTAGTTTCAATCAGGGCACAAGAGCTGAGGGGGGTAAATGTGCCAACTACTCTCAAAAAATAAAAATGTGGAGGAAAAAAGTGGGAAATAAATATAGTCTTTGAAGGAAACTATCAGACTTCTTGATTGTATCTTCCCCAAGAATATGGAACTACTTCCAGACTTTGATATATATCTTCTGGAGATAAAGAAAAAGAGTAGATTGGTATCTGAGGTCACTTGAGAAATCTGAATGTAGGAGTTAGTGGTTACTGGCCTGAAATACCAGAGAATAGAGAGAAGACATATGACACAGAAAAGTGTTGAACTCTCAGAATTAAGAGGCAAATGCATGAGCTGTCAGCCAGAGGCAAGCTTTAACCATATCGCAAGAAACGTGGTAGCTCCCTGTGAGGAATTATTCTAGTAATCAGGAAAGCTCTTCTCAGGAAAAAGACTCAGTGTGCAACATCTGCAAAGCCTGAGAGCACCATTGCCAGAGCATGACAGTAGCAGTCAAGTAAGAAGTTTCCTCCTCCTGTGTCTCCCCCCCACCCCAGTGTAATTCTTGAAGGTTTCAGTCTACTGAAATAAATAGAGAGAGAAGTGGTTCCTGACAGAGCTAATATATAAGTCAACTTCCATCAGCCCCAATGTAGACTTCCTGATTCAAAGATCAACACCCAGGGTAGGGAGAAATTTTAGCTTTAAATGAAATCTAGACTATTAGTTATTATGTCCAGTAGACTGGACATTTAAATTTGAGGGGCTTCCTGAGTTTCTGAGAAGCTGAAAAACATTAGCCTGCAGATTGTATTTAAGAGATTGTGAAGAGAAAAGCATATTTTGTGGCGTGCATCTCAAAGAGTCCTATTATATCATGAGCTTGTGATAAAGGAGGGCAACATTTATTATGAAACTTAAAATATAATAATTCAATCATGTAGTAAAGATCCTTTCTTGCCCAACACTCTTCTGATAGCAAGTTGGACATCTTTGTTTCTGAGGCTGTATACCATGGGATTTAGTAATGGAGTGACAATGGTGTACGTCACCGCTACCAGCCGGTCCTTGTTGGATACATAGTTCGCCGATGGCCTCAGGTAGATGAAGGAAGCACAGCCGTAGTGAACAATAACAACAGTGAGGTGAGAGGCACAGGTGGAAAAGGCTTTCCTTCTGCCCTCCGCCGAGGGGATCTTTAGGATAGTCCTCAGGATGCAGAGATAAGAAACACAGATAAAGAAAAAGGGAACCACAAGTACAAGAACCCCACAGATAAATATGACAAATTCATTAACATCTGTATTGGTACAAGCCAGGCGTATGACTGGTGAGATATCACAGAAGTAATGGTTGACCTTGTTGGCACTACAGAAAGGGAGGCTGAAAACTAAATTTACTACCGTAAGGGAGCCCAGGAAGCCTCCAATCCCACAAGCAGCTGCCAGTTTCCCACACACCTGCCAGTTCATAAGAATGGGGTAATGCAGGGGATGACAAATGGCGGCGTAGCGATCATAACCCATCACACCGAAGAGCAGGCAGTTGGTGATAGCAAAAGCAAGGAAGAAGAACATTTGAATGGCGCAACAGACGAAGGAGATGGTCCTGGCCACAGAAAGTAGATTGATGAGCATCTTGGGCAGGATAACAAAGGTGTAGAAGGTCTCAGATGTTGAAAGAATGCCAAGGAAGAAGTACATGGGTGTGTGGAGGCTTTGATCCAGGTGGATGACACTGATAATAGTGACATTGCCACTAAGAATGACTAGATACAGAAAGAGAAAAACCACAAAGAGGGTAAGCTGAATTTTACCAAGGCTTGAAAAACCCAGCAACAGGAACTCAGTGACCATGGTAAAATTTTCTGCCAAGACCTGTAGAGAAGAGAGAAAGAAGTAAAACATAATTAGGTGTGTAGGCATAAGAATCTGGGATAGTCAGGCCCTGTGTTTCTTTCTGGAGGCACCAGGGTAGAGTCTTGCCTTTTTACTTATCTTTTCCAGTTTCTAGAGACTTCTAACATTAATTGATTCATGGTCCCCGGCCTCCATCTTCAAAGTCAACAAAGTTGCATCTCTTTCTCTGACTTTCTCATTCTCTCTTCCACTTTTAAGAACCCTGACAATTGCACTGGGCTGACCAGAATAATACAGGATGATCTCTCTATTTTAAGATCAGTTAATTCCTTCTGCAACTTCAATTCCCCCTTTTCACATAATCTAATATATTTCCAGCTTCCAGGGATTAAAACAGGGACATCTTTGGGTGTTCATTATTTTGCCTACTTCAACTAGCAACAAACAATCCAAAAATATTAAGAAAATTTTATTTGCAATAGCATAAATTTAACAAAAGAAGTACAAGACATATACACAGAAAACTACCAAACATTGTTGACAGAAAAAATTATAGAAGATTTGAGTAAATGAAGAACATCCATGTTTATGAGTTGAAAGACTCAATAAAAAATCAAGAGGTAATTCTGAACAAATTGATCTATATAATATGTCAACGTAATTCCTATGAATCTTACCAGGCTTTTCATGTAAGTGTTGAAGAATGGAAAAACAAATGTCACATATACTCACTATTAAATCGGAACTAATCAGTCAACACTCATGTGCACATATGGTAGTAAAACTCAATGGAAATCAAGCAGGTGGGAGAGGGAGGAGGGGATGGGTAGATTCACACCTAACAGGTTCAATCCACACTATCTGGGTCATGAGCACACTTATAACTTGTCTCAAACTGTACAAAAACAATTCATATAACCAAAATTTTTTCACTCCCATAATATTCTGAAAAGAAAAAAAATCCTAGTCAAACTATTATATTTAAATTTATATTTAAGAAAAATTATCTGTGCCTTTGAGCAAAAATACTGATCACTAACAATAAAAAGAAAATCATGTGGAAATCATATTTTTGGAAGCTCTTCCACCTAAAAATTTAAAAATGTTATTAAACAATTATTAGGTCAAAGGGAAAATGTAGAATAAAATGAAATAATTTCTAGAAAATAATGACAATTGTATTCTACATACTAGAATAGCTAAGTTTAAACCAGTCACCAGAAGAAAGTTTATGCCTTAATTATTTATCTAAATAAAAATTAATAAACTTTTTTAAAATTTGAAATACTCTTGATGCCATCTAAACTGTTTCTGACATACAATGGTAACTCAATAAATATATCTTTAATAACTTTTAAATATTAAATTTTTACCTCATGTGTTCAAAAATTCTGGTATGTATTAATAAAATAAAAAAATTTAAAAAGATTAAAAAATATATCACTGGATAGGAAATATAAAAAGCTATACTTAAAGGCAATTAAATATCAAAGAGTAGTAAATAAGCAGCAATTGCACTATATGAAACAAAATATTTATTTACAACAAAAGCACAATCAGAAATACTAAAAAGCAAACAACAAATGGAAAATTACCCAAAATATTATTACAATGTTAATGTTCTTACAAACTGATGGAGAAAATAGCAAACTCTAAAGAAGAAAACAGATATAAGCATACAGTTTATCAAATAGAAGTAAAATACATCAAACATGTAAAAATTTATTTTACTTCATTTGTATACTGCAATTTAAAATTAAAGTGAAAGATCATTTACACTCATCAAATTAGCAGTGATGATATGGGTTATATGATTAGCAACAAAATATTTACTAATGGGTCATAAAATGGTTATAAATTTATTCAAAGAAATTCAGCAAAATATATCAAGATCCTTGAATATATTCATCTAATTTGCTCCAATAATTCTATTTTGGGAAATTTACCCTACTAAAACAGATTTATGTGTAAAGATATGTTTATAGTAAGGAAATCTGGAAGTCATAATACAAACTAACAGTGCTAAGTTTCAGAAAGGCAGTATTATTGTGTAGTGAATGAGAATATGGAATCTGGAGGCAGATAACTTGGTTTGGGTCCCAGTTCTTTCATTGGGTGACTGTGTGACCTTGGACAATTTATTTAACCTCCCTGAGGTATAGTTTTCTCATCTAGGAAATCAGCTGTCATAAGTATTAAATATGTTAATCTATGTAAAGTACAGAGAACATAGAAAGTGCTCTCTATTAGTGGTATTATTTTCTTTGCTATTATTTTTCTTGCTGGCTCTTTCTAATACAGACAAATCTGCCATACTAAGACAGTGATTTTGAAACTTTATGCTTATCCCATTTCTTGGATTATAGAAATCACCTGCATGATCAACACTAGCAGTTTTAAATTTCAAATAGACAGTAGGTTAGAAAAGCAGAGAGGATAAGATTAAAGTACACACAGTCTGAATAGCCCTTACTTAAGATGAATCTTTTATTTCAATTTGTGTACAGCATGTACACACGAATGCTGGATGGCAATTAAAATGTATTTATTGCTTTGTCTTGCAGATAGATCTATGAATATAGAATACACAACTCAATAGACTGTCCAACTGATTTACAACATCTTTATTGGAGGATAAAGTTTCTTTACCTCTTCAGGCCCCCTGATTCCCATATCTGGTGTTTTTGATATGCCTGATTCTTCTCTAGAGGCAGAACTATGGCTTCTGGAGAGAATCAGTGTTTCTGAAAAGAAAAATAAACATACCATGACATTCCTTATTTTTAATATTGTTTGCCTTTTCCTCTTTCATACTCTGTCTTGAAGGGAGAAGTTATACAAATCCATTCAAGCAGGAAGCTCTAATTTTCCTTTTTGCCTCCACTCCTGTAGACCTGGGACAGGCAATTGGAGAGATTATTTTCCAGAGTTATTTGGACAGCAGAGATATAGGAACCTGAGAATAGAAATCATGGTGTTGTGGACGTAGAGAACAGCTTGGAGAAGCAGGGAGAAGACAGGAGAATAAATATCAAAGTGGGTGTTGAAAGAGCTTAACTGAGAAGAGGCGATATCAGGAACGTTAAAAGTTACATTTAACCAGGCACTTTGTTATTCAAAACCCTACAATGATCCCTGCAAACTTTATAAAATTCCAAATTCTTTAGTAGAAGAAAGGAAAAAAGAAAGATGTGGGGAAGAAAGAGGGTAGGTAAGGGAGCTGATAATTTGGTTTCTTATGACACTACAAACTCATCTCTTCTAGCTCCCAGATTTTATCCCAATTTGTAATCACATGGAACGTCATGTAGTTCATTGAACATGCAGTGAGCCATGTCAAATAACAACAATGCCTTTGCCTGTGTTTAGGCAGATCCTCTGATCTTTCAAATCATTTGCTGCCAAGTCAGGTTCCCAAATACTCTTTCAATTTAACAAATCTTTATTGGATACATACTAAGTCCTAGCCACTCCATTAGGTGTTTGGGATATATCAGTGAACAAAACAAAGATCCCTACCCTTGTGAAAAATTATTTCTAGAACTTCTCACATTTAGAGTTTAATAATTAAAGATAATAATCTTTCTTGACTAGTACAATTTGAGCCCTTAGAAAGCAAACACCATGTTGTTGTTCATTTGACAAAAGTTTTTGTATCGGAAACCATGCATTTTATATACATCTCTCTAACCCTATCAGCATCAGAGTTTCTAGCAATTGCAAATATTCAAAAATCTATGTAACAAAATCAGTGATTAAACAAGTTAGTACATGACTAAAACATTGCAACTGATTTGTAGGTATTTCTCATGTAGCTGATAAAGGCACTTACAATGAGCAAGGAAACTAGATAAAGATTTATATTGTGAAGAAAGCACTAGAGATGGAGTAAAAAGGTATGAATTCACATTCTTATTGGGCAAATAATTCTCCTGAATCTTAGTTTTTTCTTCTGAAATTTGGGATATTATAAGGACTAATGGATAGCATAAGTAAAAAAAAAATGTAGCCCAGAATTACACATAAGAAGCCCTAATTATTTCCTTCCTTCCTTCCTTCCTTCCTTCCTTCCTTCCTTCCTTCCTTCCTTCCTTCCTTCCTTCCTTCCTTCCTTCCTTCCTTCCTTCCTTCCTTCCTTCCTTCCCTTCTCCTTCCAAGGTTGATGCTAAGGATAGCCCCTAAGACCACTCTGCAATATCTCTAATGGTGTTCTTTTTTTCCTCCCTTAAGACCTCAACCTTAGGTATAATCTCCCTATATAGCTACTTGTCATCTTTGTCTTCCCACACAGCTTCTTTTCTCAGTACCACCCACCAACACTTTACTGCCATGTATCTGTAGACCCTAGTTCTAAGAACATCTCAACAATTTCTGAATTGAACGTAAGATAAAGGTATAACTAGCTGTCATCTTTGAGATGGTATAAATTTATCCTGAGATTTTAGGTAATTTAATTTCTTAAATCATCTATAAAATAAAGAAAACCAAAGTTCCACTATGAAAAAGTGTCACATTCCCCAAAATATGAATCCTGGTGTACAAATAAATGCAGTTCTCTTATTTCCTAAATATAGCCCAAGTCCTTTAAGGAAATGCCTAAGTAATTTGCCACCATTAGCACATTTCCAGTATATTACACATCTTCCACTCTCTTAAAGTTTTTCAAGCCAGGAACAAAAGACTTACTACTTTGCTCCCCAGAACAGCGGCCATTATACCTCTCTGTATTGCTTGGCCCAGCCACGACCCTAATGAGTGGACTTAATCAGGTTTTCTTTCTGGTTATCAGCATCAGAGTCAATGCCCTGCTTGGTAATTTTACAATCCAGCACCCTAGGGAGCCATGATCACATTGCTTCTGATGCATTCTGCTTTCTTTCAGTTAGCAACTATGTTCCAAGGGGAAAAAGTTCCTCAAAGCTCTTTTGCCAAATAGATAAACCATGCAATAGGCTCATGGAATTAGTTGATTTCTTATTTCAGATTCTCTAGTGAGATGACTTATTAGAAATCTGGAGGCTGCTGGACACTAGCAACAGAAAATCCCTGGCAACCTCTTCCCATGGGCTTC